AACCCCGTTCCTTGCTGGAGGTTTATCCCGGTGGAATGAGCCGTGGGAGCAGAGGGAGTTCGGTGCCGGTGTCACCATCCCTGCTGCCCACCCTGGCCTGGCTCCTGCTTTTCCTCGGGCAGAAGAGGCCTGGAGGAGGTGTTGGAACCACCAAGACACATCTCCGTGATGGGCAGCCCAGAGAGGCTGGAGGCTCCAGCTGCAGGCAGCTGCCTAGAGATGCTCCTGCTATCAGTTAGTTCAGTTACCCCTTCCTTGATCTTACAGATAATTTGGTCTCCACAGCTGCCCGGAGCACACTTCGTGGCTCAGGATAATGCCCTGCAGTCGCTCAGATGTGGGGCTGGGTTTTCCAAACAAGGAATTCATTTGGGTTCAGAACTGACTTAGTCTCTAAATTTCCAGACGTACTTTTGTATTGACGGTGCTTTTGTGTTGTTTCTCCAATAAATTGTGTTCCTTAGGCACGTTGTTGCAGCGCTGGAATGTGCCCCCAGACCTGCAGCTGAGCAGACAAATGGCTAGCACAGGCGTGCCTGGGCAAAAGGGCAGTAATTCGGTTTTTGTCCTTATTATGGGCTTGTCCACCTTAGGAGCAGGTGCCTATGTAAGTAGAAAGGTGGTTCCTGGGAAGAAGCTGCAGTCCATCTCTCCTGTTGAGCATTTGCTGTATTCCAGCTCTCTTAACTCAGCTTTTGATTTCTGTAGCTTTGTCTCTGTTTCCTCCTTCAGAAAACTTCAAGGGGGAGCTAAATGGAAAGTAACTTCTTATGATTACTAGGGTTTTAACTGTAATTTCAGTTACCTTTTAAGTTTTTTACCTTAAAGGCACTCTTGGGTTTTTTTGTTATGACCAGACACAGCTCTGTCTGTTGTCTTGTATGAGACAAACAATTCCATGCCAAATCTCAGTTCAGAACATTTGTTTAACTTGTGTAAGTATACCAAATCAACCCCCAGCTGGGGAGTATTTATGTTCTGCTTGAAAAGGATAAAGGTTTGCAGCCTCACTGAAAGAGTAAATGACACTCCCACAGAGCCGAAGAATTTCAGTATTGCCTGGGAGTGGATGGATCCCAAGTTTACACCACACAAATCTTTGTTTCCAAGCTCTTTCTCTAGGAGGATCATATTCACTAAAAGTTCCAAATTCCATTTTTCTCCAAAGGAAGCTCCTGGAAAGTAGAAAAAAAATTCAAAACAGTGGGTGGAAGAAAAATATTTTCCTATTTCCTTTAAATATAATTCTTTCCTGTGCCCTGCTGCCCATTTTTTTTTTTTTTTGGCAGACAAGGTAGCTGAAATTACAAAGCGCACTCTGCTTCTCCCAAGACCTGTTTAATCAAGAATCCTTCCTAATACTCAGCTCTTTCCCTCTTCTCTTCCATTGCCTGTCTTCCCCTGCAGTTTTGCAATGCCATCAGCTAAGATGCCCTTCTAGATCCCTGACGTCTTCAGGTGTTCCTGGCAAAGCTGGCAGCAACCTCTTGTTATACTTAATAGTGGGAGGAACAGTCACTGGGACAGGAGTTTATGTAAGATGCTTCACTAAAGGTGTTTGTGGGGCGGGAGGGTGGAGGGTGGGCACCTGTCTGTACCTCCCACCCCGCAGCCCTTCACTGCCAGCCCTCTTTGTGCTCCCTGGCCTCAGGTACTTCATTTTCAAGGGACATTGCCAAATAATTTCAGGTTACAAATTGAATATTCTCAGATGGTGCAGTTCTTAGTGGAGAAACCTGCCTTAGAATTACCCTTTCCACATTAAGTAAATCTAAACTCAAACTGGCCGTCCTTGTTTGTGACTGTGTAAGGGCACATATTACTAATTAGTGCACTTCTCATTATATCAGTAATGTTGGCATGCAGAAAAGGAAATAATACCTGAATATAAGTGTGCTAAAGGGAAGGAAAGAAAACTTGTCCAACTTGGTGATTTCCTCATGGAGGAGCACTGAAACATCACCCCATGACCTGGCAAAGTATAGTTCTTATAACTAGAAAGAACTTGACATTGTCCCATTGGAAATATTTATCCTCAAGGGCCGATCGGATATTCTGCCTGTGCATAATAGTGTTTTTCCCTAAAGGATTGGATTTAATTTGCTCTATGCTGCCCTTTGAACTCACTTAAAACCTTCCTGATTCTGCTTGTAAAAGCAGAGGTGATTTGTAAACCTTGGCTTTTCTGTCTTTGAGCAAAAGGATTTAAAATACCTTTATCTTCATTCTTCTAAACACTGACAAGTTCTTGTTTTTTAATATTTCCAGCATTTCTCCAGTTCCCTGGACAGGCCTTTGTCCTGTGTTCTTTTTTGTGCCTGGCATTAAATTCCTCCATTCTTTTTTAAAAGAATTTGCTATAAAACACCAACTTGTGAGGATTGGCAAATGAAATTTGATGTCATGCACATGATAGAGATTATTATGTGCAAAGGTTTTGCCCCAAAGAAAGGTTTGCTTCCCTTTAATTTTTTTACCCTTGGGGAAAAATACTGGACTCTGACCTGCTCCCAGCACTGCCAGTGTCTTCAGTCAGCTCCTGTTCAGGAGAACCCAGTTTTTCTTGTAAGTTAACGTGATAGAAGAGATGTTCCCTCCTTGTCTGTACCAGTAAATTGTACTTGCAGGCTCTGCTTATGCTGTATCCTGAGTTTCACAGTCAAATGCACAGGTCAGGATTCAGCTGGAAGAGATTCCACATCCAAGGGCCAGTGCCTGGAACAGCCCCGCTCCCGTGGCTCAAGGCCCTGCTCATGTCAGGGCTGTCCTGCCACCACCATGCCTAGAGAAAGCCTGTCAGGTTGTTGGCCCTGCCCAGCTGCTCTGGGCTTGGGAAGGTGGGAGATGCTTTTTCTTTGGATTTGTCTTCCCTTTCCGCAGTCTTGTGTTGTGTCATGGCCCAGCTTGCATGGCATCTTGGGGTGGTTTGGCTGCATTTCCTTCACTGGAGCTGGTTCCCCTTAGAACAGGTGTGCAGCCAAACACCTGCAGGAAGGTTCATTGCTTCTGGGAAGCAGCCAGACATCCAGGGCTCACCACACCTGGTGGAGCAGGTCATTTTCTGAGTATGTTCTCAATGGGCACCTTGTCCAGGGAGATGTATTTTGCCCCACATGTTGTCACTGGCTTTTCCAGCATGTGGGGTGGACAAAAGCTTGTCAGGGCCAGCAGCAGGATGGTGCCTTGGTGTTGTGAGGTGTACTAGGTCAGTGTCTCCTGTGTGTCTGCAGGCATACAAAACAATACAGGAGAGCAAAGAGCGATACGCCAGCCGGCTCGCCATGACAGCCAGGCAGTCCCAAGGCCAGGAGTCCTCTGCCTCAGGTGGGTACCCTGCAGATAAGGTTTGGTCTGTTCTTCATGAGCTTGAGTCCTCCAAAACAAAGAGAACAGAGCCTCTCTGGAATCATAGATGTGCCTCTGTAGGATTGCACCTCTCAGTGTGTGCCATTGTTTCAAATTCCCAT